CGCCGGTCCCGGGCCCGTAGGAGGGGCAACGGAGCCCGGGAAGCACGGCGGGGGTGTCCGGCGGGGGGGGGCGGCCCCTTCTTCGGGACGCAGAAGCGATCTGGCGACAGGTAAGTCGCCAGGATCGCTTCTGTTGTAAAGCCGACAGTCGGCTCTACAAGTTTAAACAGAGTCCCGGCGGCAAAAGTCGCCGGGAGTCTGTTTAAACAGCCCCGATGCTGGCGACGTACACTGTACGTCGTCAGTCACGAAGGGGTTAAAAGTTGTCTGTCTAATTTGCCTTAATTTTTCACAGGGATAACCTACAAAACCTGTAATCTGACAAAGGGTGCCTATGCGTTTTTAGAAATCTACTGAAATGTGAATGCAGTGAAGATTTGGAAACTTCTAGAAAAATCAATGACACAGGGAGAATAGATTGTTGCACATTATAAAATACCAACCGATTAAAGCTTGAAAGAGGTTACTCTGAAAGATGCCAATGACCCGCTCAATAGATTTCCTGAGTTGTTTGTCCTCGGTTTGATTAAGTTTGGTGCGATATTCTTCCAAGAGGTCCAACGCACGTTGAGTATCTATGCCAAAGAAAACAATGCTTATATTATACGTGACATACAAGTTCATTTATACAATTTCTACAGTGCTCAATATTGCAATAATACTCTAAACGGTGCTCCATGTAAACCACCTAAATATATGTGAACAATTTTACCTGCCCAAGGATTTATATATCTCAGATATCAGTCAGCCTGAGATATTCTGCTCTGCTACACTACTCAGCCAGAAAGGCAACTTCCCAATCTCAGCTTTTTGTGTCACCTGCATGCTTGTTTGGACCATGAAAAGGCATCCTCAGGTTACTGATCCTATCTCCAGTGAGAAAGCAAATACCGCAGGAATCCATAGAAATAAACCAGTAAATAGTGGCATCAAATTACTTGCTTTTGCTGTGAAGCAGAGGACTGTTAACTGCAAACTTCGTTTATATGCTCAATATCCTCCAATGTGTGCCAATATATCAAAAATCAGAACACTTCATTTTATAAAAGAGAGAGAAAAAAAAAGTTCCCATGAGCAGTTTAAACACAACAAAAACAAATTAACATATCCATCAGGCAGCGATGCCTGTTACCATACAAGCGATCCGCCGGCTGGAGAGCCGGCGGATCGCGTGTATGGGGTGCCGATCGGTTCTACCCCACCCGCCCCGCCTACCTGGGTAATAATAAGTGTTTCCTAACAATGTAAAAAAAACTTTTTTTTCTCAAAATTTTCTTTAAATTTTCCTAATTATAGTAAAAAATAAAAACCCCAGTAGTGATTAAATACCACCAAAATAAAGCCCCATCTGTCCCCAAAAAAATTGTGTAAAATTAATATCAGTACAGTGTTGCATGACGGAATAAATGTCAGTCAAAGTACCGCAGCGCTGAACTGAAAAATGGCCTGGATGGAAGGGGGTCTAAACACCTGGTCTTGAAGTGGTTAAGAGAACTATGGCCAAACCTTTTCTGGCCGTAGCTCTCACTTACTATGCCCTCCTATGACCCAAAACTCAGTATACAGCAGACTATTGGCCACTATGTGCTGACAGGGCAGAGATTCAGGAACTAAGCATTCAGTGGTTTGTGATCAATCAGTTCTTGATCAATAAAGCCAGCATGGGACAGCTGCAGTGCCGCACATCGGCTCTAACTATCGGATCAGGATTTCACTCATCCCATATTTCTCCTTTAAGTCATTTTTAGACCCCTAATATTTCCCAGAAAACTAAAAGTAAAGTAAAAAAATAGATATATTTTTTAAAAAATGAATAAAAATGTAATATTGTAAAAATTTAAACGTTTACAAAAAAAAGAAAATAGAAAAAAAAGTTAGAAAAAAAAAAACATTTTCGGCCTGACATTTTACTTCATTTCGGTTCGGTTTTGAAATTTTCATTTCTGTGCACCTCTAGTTTTAGCTCTACCCTTCTCTGTTCGAAATGGGGGTGTGGAGGAGAGAGTTTTTCTCTTCAGATATACTTTAATGCAGTGGTTCTCAACCTGTATTATAACCTCAGGACCCACGTCGTACCACACTGGAATGCACAGCATTGCAGTACTGCATGTTCCAGTGCAATCGATCAAACTGGGCGGAAGGTGTGTTTAGGGTGCCATTCAAATGAATTGCAACGCAATGCATCTCCCGTACCCGAGTGAACAGTAGGTGCGATTGGGTGGCAGTTTGTGAATAAAAAACTGACAAAGGGGGGTCTTTTTATTTCTTTTGGAGCGCTCATTCACTTCCTATCCTGTATATACACAACAGGAAGTGAGTGGAACTCGCTTCATGTTGAGGAAAATGCCCTCATAGACAGCTGCCATAGGAATAAGTGTCCCCATTAGAAAATGTACACTCTATCCTGCCTGTGTAGATTTTGCCTCACTTTTAGCTCTAGTGAGAGTGGTTACCAGGACAAATACAGAGTGTGTACTTCCAAACTCTGGACACATCCAGCACCTGACAGGGGGTCTAATCCTCCACCAATATATCCGACCATAAAAGAACAAAGTTTTGGCTTTAGATACACTTAGTCTTTTACTACGGCATGGCAGTAAGAGCGGGTAAACCAGCTCATGGCTGCAATAGTGCGTCTTCGTTTTTTCTGCTGACTCTGCTCTTTCTAGCAGAAGTGATCTTGGTAGTCACATCCTGAACACTTCTACAGCCAACAGAAGCAATCATTTTTATAACACACCATACCACAACACACAGTATTGTGCTGTTATGCAGGTTGATTGGTGTGCAATAAGGACGTCACCACACAAACATGCATTTTCGCTGCACAACAGTGTGAATCCAGCCTTTAGCTTGACAAACATTTTAAGAGCCCTATCTAAATCAATTTGGAAGATTCCAGTTGGACTTGCCCTATTAAGGTGCCCATACACTGGACGATTCTCATACGAGAATCGCGGGAAATCCCGCAATCGTACGAGAATCGTGCAGTGTGAATGAAGACGTGTGACCGTTTCTACTGTACGGTCGCACGTCTTTTGTCTAAGGAGCATGCTAGAAAACCAGCCGCAAATCGTGATGCTCGGGAGAAGAATGCCGAACGGGCCAGTGTGTGCACACTGCCCGTTCAGCATTGCGGTCATCGGAAGCCCGGCCCTAGTCACTGTTGTGCTAAATTGTGCCATAATCAATCTAACTTAATCCGACTAAAGCTCTCCTAAAGTAAAACGCACATGTTTACTTTACCATTGCACTACGTTATATAAAAAGGTCACACTAATGTCATATCACTTTAATTAGCAGACTTAGTTGATTATATTCTTGGGTAAATATATTGGGGGTGCACAAATTACATAGGAGTTGCTCTTGTAATATATATATTTTACAAGAGCAACACCTATGTAATTTGTATAT